AGTACTTTTTGCCGATTTTGTGTATACTTAATAAATAATTAAAATTAGTTGGCGCTGAGCTACGTGTGATAACATAAAATTGTAATGAATCAACTCCACTGTCGTGGCTAATTATTAACACGTTTAATCATGTTAACCATCTTACTGTATGAGGAGACAAATCCAGAAATTTTGGAATAATTCTACAGTTTGGACTCGGTTTCTTGGAAAATAGAGAAAACGTGAAAAAAAAGTTGCATAGGATAGAAATAGTTCCATACATAATATAAAAAAATTACTTCAAGGTTTCTATTTGACAATGGATTGATGCTTGATCATTTGCACTCTTACAACAAGGGAAAACCATGCAAATTAGTCAAACTATTGCCATTGTGGAAAATCTTTCTTTGCTCACTTGATGTGTGGGTTGAGTGGCCCAGAAATCAAGAACCACGGCTTTTTTTTATTTTCTAGATGCTGTAGCAATCGTTGATGCTATCGAATGTATTTCAATCTCAGCTTGTAGTGGTTCCTTCAAAACATATGATTTCAAGTTATCTCGATGTTCAACAAGTTGCACAAGATTGTTGAATCTCATAATTTCATGAATGATAACTGGGGACCAATTTATCTTTGGCTGAGTGGCTAGTACACAGCTAATAGCACTAAGATAACACCCAGCTTCACATTCAAACTGTCATTTTCCCACCATCCTCTTAGCCTTCGTTCTCGTCAAACAATTATTTTGATGTAGAGTGTGCTTGTGAACAATTTATGCAGCCATTTTGCATATTTTTATGGACATTTTGGAATGTCTACACTCACAGTAGGTCTGCATAGTAAGTACATCAATAAGTGGCGTTACTTTCCATCTTAACAATAAAATATTAGGGGAACAGCCGATAGACTGCTGTTTCATTGCCAAATACATCATCTAAAGATAGGAGGCGGGGTGACTATCCCAGTTGGTCCAATCCAGATCCAGGTTTACATATTTTAAAAGCATATACTGTACAGGTTGTTCAGCAGAATATGGAAGTGGGTTTGATATTTTCAGTGTATGGTTTCATCTGTTCAAACTCGTAGCATAATAAGCTGTCAACGTTTGCTTCCTAGTTGATAATCTGTTCTAGGGTCTCCT